CACAGAGGACAGCTTGGAGTTATCAGAGCTTTACTGGAGGTCACAGAGGTCATCTGGGACACGTCAGGTCAAATAGGTCAACTTGGGGTCATCACAGAGGTCATTGGATGTCATGGGGGTCATCTGGGACACGTTTTTGGAATCGGGAGAATTTTTGTGAAATAACATATTATGCACCATTTTCAACACTCTCGCTGGCATGGATGGAGGCTTCATAGACAACCTGTCAGTTCAAGCTCTATAACTTGCATTAGCATCAACGGATTGCAACACAATTTTCAGGATCTCAAGTTCAAACAATTTTACACGTACCACGTAAATTTCGAGACAATGACCCGAATGACCTGTGACCTCTTCCCCAAGGCAAGGTCAACTTGCGACAATGACACTACTTACGACTGCAATTTCAATTTTGTAAGTTGTGTCGTAAATCAGGCAACGTGCAATAGATTAGAATTACAATAACCCACACCAAAACACACTGTACCTACCAAATCAAGTTCTTCAGCACGCCTTAGGCCAGTGCACTGACACGGAGCACGTCCAAGGTCAAATCGCGTTTCTCCGACTTTCGGTTTGTTATTTTCATCAAGGTTTTGATAGGTGCTCGCACGGTAGCCATGTTGGGATAGGTGAATTAAATGTTAAATTATTTAAATATTTTAAAATAATTTAAGACCTGCCAAACTTAACAATACGCAGAATAATAACCAGCATTAAAAACTGTATTGGCAAACAAAGTTATATGTGAATCGAAAGGGTCCGCTAAAAATGACCTTGACCTTTGACCCGTCATTTCTCCTTAGTTTGACCTTGCCAAAACAAGAAAAACCAGCAGTAGCATCTCCAACATTGGTTGCATCATTGAGCAAAAAATTATTGAAATCTAAGGGGTCCTCCTTTCTCACCTGGCCACGTGGTCACTTCCACTTCCTGTATTACACATACGTGACCTTGATTCTGACCTTTGACCTACTATATCAGTTCGTGCTGCTTGCCAAAGTAAGAAACTGATATTTTTGAAATCAGCTCTTCATGGACTATAGTTGTACCAATTTTTACGAGAATCCAAAGGGTCCGCCGAGAATGACCTTGAACTTTGACCTAAGATTCCTCAGTTCTTAGGGGGTGCCAAGCCTAGGTGATTTATTTTCGTAATAAGCATGTCCTGCTCTATCTATCCTGTTAATTTAAATCGATTCTGAGGGGTCCGTTTTTGTCATTTTTTCCACGAATGTGGTGCTGGAATCCGAATCCGAATTTGAAGCCAACTTTATGAACGTCATACAATATCAAATACTGTGCACTAAATTTGTCTAAGCAAGGCTGGAAATGTAGACGACATTAGCTACCATATCTGATATCTCAGCTACCATATCCAAAATGATTTATGAAGTAAAGTAAAGGAATCTTGGATTTATGTATTTGACTCAGACTCACGCGTTTGTGCTTTGTAGAATGTGCCATGAAAAAAGATCCAAAAGATCTCTATATACCGTGAAAAAAGACAGGTCCTCGCGAGAAGCTCGGACGATTTATCTTTTTCTTTATTTCATCGGAGTCCGACTGTCTCCTATATACGGCCTTGGACTGTCTTGAAGAATCTTGAGTCAGACAAAATGTGGACATGCCTAAGAGCTGGACTTTTTGCACGCGTTCCCCGCCAGGGGGCGCCACTGAGGAAGCACCCTCTGACGTCACGATAAAACTGCGCGCACTGTGCGCACGGTTCTGTAAGCAAGTAATATAGTGGTGGTTTCATGGTGGAAATTGGAATAAGTATTTTGACGTTGTAAAATTTCAAGCCGTTTTTGTGAAATTAATTTGTAAATGCATTCCAAAAGTATTTATTTAAAGTGTGAAAGGAGAATAATTAGAAGAACATCGATATTTTTGTTCCAATAGCTTATTATGTGAGACATGATCGGTACTAACGGGTACTTCTAAGAAGTAGTGAAGAAGTACCAAACAGCCTGCTCGGCTACGATCGTCAGCTGTCCTTTGGAGCTGGACTTCAACGCTGTAAAAAAAATATGTGCTGAATTAATTTTTAGTTTCACCAAAATATAAGCAATTTATCATTTCTTTTTCACTTTTGTAATTATTGTTGAGTGAAGAGACATGTTGCTAGTTCTGACAATATAAATTATTAATTAAAAAAACGAAATGCGACGGTAAGTATCTGCTACTAAATTATCACTTTAGCCAAATACACGGAGAATCTTGCTACCATTGCTTATAAAACGTGCTTATCAATACACAAATGTCTTATTTCAGACAAGAATGATTTATTTGCCTGAAGTCTTGCGTCATGAGCTACTGCTTTGATTCCAAAGACGCTCTCCGGGTCGGGGTAATTTAGTTCTTCATCGATCGATAAGAGATTTTGATTCCATTGATATCCAAATTGATAAGCTCGGCACCATGGAGTAAGGGCGTCCCCACAGGGGTGACGCAGGAAATATGAATGGCGTTTACACCGACAGTAGTTTCCCACAGCCGGCAATGGGAATCTCCTGTCGGTGTAAACGCCACTATAGTCCCATCCAACTCAAACACTGGGGAATATCCCCCGCACTTTTGAGGACGGAAATCTATGGACCTGCTCGAAAAATAGTGGATAAAATACGGCGAGCTTTCAGTTTTATGGTTGGGTCTCCCTTCCGAGACACATATTTACGGGGGATATTGGGTCATATTCCCCCGGCGTCCTGATGATCGGCGCCCAGCTCAACGTCGAAGGCGCCCTGATACGCGGCACTGCTATCTGTGAAGGTGCCCAGGTTGCTGCCGCTCGAATTTTGGTCGCCTACTTAACAAAACCTCCGTTGGTGCCATCTCAGTTTCCTCGAGGTCAGGCAACCTTCACACGCCGTTGGCTACCTTGGCTGGCCGGCGACTCGTTCCCCTCGTGGCGACGCTCTTGACATCCAGTCAAAAGTTGGAGTGGCTGGCGCCCCCAGTGGGGGCCGGGGAAGGGGCAGTGGGCCTCCACGTTGCTCTCTTCCCGAGCCTATGGTGACTTGGCTCAACTCTCCTCAATAGAATCTGGATTCTGCACGCTGTATTAACATGGGCGTAGACACCACTACGGACAATACGGACAGTGGGTGTGACAATCAGTAGTGCCATTCATATAGAGGTGTCATATATGAGCGGAGAGGTAACTGTACAGCTGAGCGGAGAGACAACATTAAAACAACAGTACAGCTGGCGTTGCATGGAGCTGCAGGCAACCGGACAGCGGAGGCTTGCGAAAAATAAACAATTCGTCACTTCAACGTATAAACAATAGTAAAAGCAACATAAACACATATTCTCATGGTCGAACCCATGCACTAGCGGCTCACAGCGGGCACAGGCACGCAGTGCGGTAACGGTACCGGATCACACGTCATGGGCGTTGTCTCAGCATAGGTTGTTCGCAATCTAGTTGAAGCCTAAGAAGACGGCCAGTGGGGTCTCACTGCTGCTGAGGCGACCTCGGAGACGATGCGTCGCCCCTCCTGTCGGCGACCTGCGGTGAGCAGGACTCCAGATAGCTGGCTGGCACGTTGCTGACACTGCCAGACGCTGTCAGCAGGCCTCACTGCTGCAAGTGATGTGCAGATGGACGCCAGGTGACTTCGTCTGCAGGCGATTCCGGAGACCGCGGCCTCACCAGGCAGTACCACCTGCATCGCCATGTCGGTGTTTCTAGAAATGGAAAAATAACAGTATCGGTGAAGGACAAGCAATACAATGTATTCTGTTTCCTCTCTTGCAGGTATACGTAACCTACAATTATCATTGTTCCTATTTCATTCAACTGAACCTGAAAATTCCATATTGGCACATTGTTTGACTAAATTTGTGTAGTTGGGAACAGGGGCGACGCCACGGTGCGACGACTGGAGGGGACATTACCATTTTGGAGGGGACGAGGACCATTTCAAGTCGATTCTTTCCATGCAACGCCATAGGCGTAATGTTAAAATTTTAAAAAGTGGAGGGGACGAGATCCCCTCCGTCCCCCCCCCCTGTGGCGACGCCCTTGGTTGGGAAGCAGATTGTTTGAAATACATGTTTGGCTGAACACTGCGGAAAATATTTCATTGATCACTATAGCTGCAACAAAAATACTGGGACAGAAAACATTTGCGCTTACCTGGCTCCTTAGTCAGTCCCGCACAACGGAAGTGGCACCATTTATCGCAGCCGTCGTATCCGACCATCGGTGCTGCACTGATGCTGCTGCACTCCCCACATTCCCAGTAGCTTAGGAGCGTCTTGGCTGTGAAAAGATTACATGAGTCATGGCGCATACATGAATAGTAAGATGTTTTATATGTTTAACATCGCATAGCAAAGACACAACAGCTGGGAGTCAAGTGTAAGCCAAAGTATAAGCCCTGCCATGTTTTGCAGACTGGATTTTAAGCAAGAAAAGCTTTGCTAAAAATGACGCTTGACGAAGCCTCATCCTACTGGGCTGTCTGACATGTCTCCCTGTAAAAAGCATGTGGCCCTTATATTGTATATATGATGAATATGTTAATAATGCAGAGAAAACACAGTATAAATTATACCCAACGTTTCATCTTAATCGACTTTGTCAAGGGTGTTTGAACAGCTTGAGATGAGTGAAGTGTAAGGAAGGGTACCTAGGTACATCTGAAAATAAACTGAATCTGCGTTCAATAAACATTGGTTTTGATAATACATTTCACAAATCAACTGCTAATAACAATCATACATGACAGATAACTAACAATCGCATGAAGAACTTCAACTTCTTGTTTCGTCCCTTGGTTTCGTCCGAACGAATGTTGTCTGAAGACTGAAGTTACACATTTGTCTTTTCTGCGCAGCATTTGTGTTTGCCATTTACCGCACCAATGTTCGCCAGCAGTGGTGACTTTCCCTTACCTGCTCACGAAACGTCACACACGACATGACGTCACCCGAAGACGTCATCAAAAAGTCCAGCTCTTAGGCGTGTCCCAAAATGTGACCGGATAGATTGATAACTCACAATAACAGAATCTGATTCATTGAAATTGAAATTAAGAATCAAGACATAGCTCAGTTGAAGTTGAAGTTTAATTGAAATGTCAATGTAGGAATCTTGGCAGTGTTAGCCATAGGTCACGCCATATTGATATTCACTTGATTCATTTGCTTTCGTCAGTGCACGTCCACGTCAGTGCATCAGCATACTGACATCGACATGGACTGTGGCACGGTATATAGAGAACTGACTGTGGTAGCCTTGCATTTTCTAGTTATTTCCAGACATGTGCACGGATCCCAGACAACCAATCACGGAAATCGAGATGGCCATTAGATTGACGGTCTTCAAGCATGAAATTATGGTGGAAAACATGGCTCATAAAAGCCTCTCAATGAACCAACTATTTTGCATTCCTTCAGGGTTAACAGTTCTGAGAAAATCCCTCAAGATCCATCTCGGATCCATGATTCGTGGGCATGGATCCGAGATGGATCTTACTGTGAACTCTGAGGGAATGCAAAATAGTTGGTTCGTTGAGAGGCATCTATTAGCCATGTTTTCCACCATAATTCCATGCTTAAAGTCCACTAATCTAGTGGCCATCTTGATTTTCGTGTTTGGTCGTCTGGGATCCGTGCCCATGTCTGGTTATTTCAATACAAAACAAGGATGTGAAACTAAAACTGTTAAGCATTTAGTAGAAACTGTTTTGGTAGATAAATTCTTCACATGAGGCCAGTTTTACCAACAGATAAATAGCTGTCTGCCAGAATTTTTCGCCTTAAGACCGCTTCACATTTGGAGTGCAAACAGTAAAGCCCTATCCGTTTATGTGCTCATCCCGCTTATGCTCCGTATGTGAAGCAAATAATTCCAGAGGTTGGCTATTTTTCTGTTGGTTAAACTGGCCTATGTGCCAGAATTTGGATGCCAAAGTCAAAAGCACCCATAGCCAGTTGCAGATACTGCTACTCAAGCTGCTATTCAACTTACTACAGCTGGCTGCGGCTCCCACCAGTTTTGCTGACCATCACCATCAGTTGGTGACCTTTGTGTTTGTGTTTGTTTTCCCAGTGAACTCTTCATGTAATGGATAATCACCAGTATAACGCCTTTTGGGGCGACTAACGGAGCGAGCGAGAGGGTGGGCCTTGCACGTGCGAAATTGCGAAGGGGTACCTCCAACTGACTTGTGCACGGCACCCTACTAACCAGTCTCTAGCGATGTGCCAAATTTGGGCACAATCCGCCCAGCCGTTCTCGAGATCTGGAAGCGGCACCCTGCACGTGCGCACGTGCAAAATGGGTCCCAACTGACTTGCGCACGGCACCCTACTAACTGGTCCCTAACTGTGTACCAAATTTGAGCGCAATCGGTGGAGCCGTTCTCGAGATCTGGAAACGACCCCTGCACGTGCGCACGTGCAGCAGCGCCCCAACTCTGGCACATGGATATGCAGTGCCTAGTGGGTGCCTACCTACATGCCAACTTTCAGCGCAATCGGCCAAGTAGTTACCGAGATATTGCAACAATTACAAAACGGACACCTCTTCGTTTTGCACGTGGCACGTGCATAAGGGGTCACCCACATGCATCGGGAATAGTCCAATACTTGGTAGAAGGAATCAGCTACCATACAAAAATTGCAGCGTGTAAATCGGTCAAGTGGTTGCTGAGATATAAGCCTCGCAAAAGCGTGACCACGGCCGGCCGGCCTGCCAGCCGGCCGGCCGCTCATACTCAGAAATTTCCGTTAATCTAAGGAAAGACTACGCTCGCTTCGCTCGCTCCGTAATCACCCAGCAATAGAAAGAGCTGACCTGAGGCTGCCTGGTAGGTATGCATATTGCATACATACACTGGTGGCAGGAGGTCAAAGCTCAGATCAATGTTGCATAGCTGCTTACCTGACATTATCTGTCACCTGCTTATATGCTTGGAGGAAAGAGTGTGCTAAATGATAACCAGTATAACGCCTTATGGGCGACTAACGGAGCGAGCGAGAGGGTGAGCCTTGCACGTGCGAAATTTCGAGGGGGTACCTCCAGCTGACTTGTGCACGGCACCCTACTAACCGGTCTCTAGTGATGTGCCAAATTTGAGCACAATCGGCCCAGCCGTTCTCGAGATCTGGAATCGGCACCCTGCACGTGCGCACGTGCAAAATGGGTCCCAACTGACTTTTGCACGGCACCCTACTAACCGGTCCCTAACCATGTGCCAAATTTGAGCGCCATCGGTCCAGCCGTTCTCGAGATTTGGAATCGACCCCTGCACGTGCGCACGTGCAGCAGCACCCCAACTCTGGCACATGGATATGCATTGCCTAGTGGGTGCCTACCTACATGCCAACTTTCAGCGCAATCGGCCAAGTAGTTACCGAGATATTGCAACGATTACAAAAGTGACACCTCTTCGTTTTGCACGTGGCACGTGCATAAGGGGTCACCCACATGCATCGGCAATAGTCCAATACTTGGTAGAAGGAATGAAGCTACCCTACAAAAATTACCGCGTGTAAATCGGTCACGTGGTTGCTGAGATATAAGCCTCGCAAAAGCGTGACCACGGCCGGCCGGCCGGCCGGCCGCTCATACTCAGAAATTTCCGTTAATCTAAGGAAAGACTACGCTCGCTTCGCTCGCTCCGTAATCACATTTTTTTTCTTTTTCAGGCTGTGCTAGAAAACCAGAAACGTCCAAAAAAGGGGCTCTGAAGTGAATCTGCATCTTGACATTCATTAAATCAGAGTTGCATTAGTAAACATTTCATTTATTCATTCCACTGAAGCAGGGTTTTCCTACACTGGCTACAGCAGTGGGCTGGGTTCATCAGGATTATCAACCAAAAATGAGTGGCAAATCTGGAAATCAATTTGAAGCGTGAGTACCTACCTACCTAATCATTTTCTGTGCTTATGAATGACTGACTAGTTAATATATTCTTTTTTATTGTCTTTTTAACCAACAAATTTGTTCTTTGATTTATTTTGGCTGTTGAAAGGTTTATTGTTTGCATAAGCATGGGTAGCTTTTACCTAAATATTAAGATGTGCTCATATTCTGCAAAATATTGCTGTGACTTATGTGGCTGCTTGAGTTTCCATCCATGTTTTATCTTTAATTGTTTAATTTATGTCTTGTAGGTGACTGTTGAGTTGACATTTGGATGTTTCAGGCTGAAAATGAGTGACGATAGTGGCGAGGAGGACAGAGAACTGAAAACTGGCCACAAACTGGTATGGCACATAAGTGTTTTTGTTCTCTTTCATCCTGTATTTTGGTTATTTTGTAGCCTCCTGCACTGTACCATTTTTGTTTTTCTGTTAAGCTATTAATCATTTTTTTTTGTTATGGTGCTCAGTGTCTCCTTCAGACAGTAGTAATGATTTTTTTATCAGATTGCGCTGATGCAGTTTTAATCAAACATGCTTATTGCTTATCTACTTGCCAGGCACTATGCACTTGTGCATTATGCAATGCATAGTGCTGTATTGTATTCACTGCTCTTGTCCATTCAACCTATTAGTCAGCTTCCAATCTACCTCACATCGCTGTGACTGACGCCTTTACATGCCCGTGCGTTCGTCGTGACTGGTGTTTGTGCGATTGACCGCTGACCCCTCTGACCCCTCGACAGCCGCCACTGGAGATCCCGTCACACCACCACAAGCTGGAGCACGTGCACTGTCTGTGGTTCACGCAGCGTACGCCCGGCAACAAGAACTCTGCCAGCTTCGACCAGAACCTCAAACTGGTCGGAAGGTCAGTGGGAGCTCGTGGTGGTGCACCACTGAGGGATGGGAATTGGGATGGCCCGTGGCATCGCCGGTGATGGAGTATAGATTGGTCTTGTGACACGTTTGGACCGAAAAAAGGTAGTTGCTGTTTCTTCGCTGATTTTCCGAAGTTGCTTGCATCTTCTAGTTGCGTGCTCTTATTTCGGTGAAATAACGATGGTGAAGTCCAACTGGCTGATCAGCTGTCAATGGCATTTTCACAAGCTGAGGTGTGAGGTACACCTGCGTGCCTGTAAAGCAATATGTTCATCTCCTACCGTCTGCTGTCCGATTCATCTCCACTATGACATTGCCAAACGCGGCTTTTATCACCCTCATCACCTAACCTGCCCTCTGTGTGCGCAGGTTCGGCTCTGTGGAGCAGTTCTGGTCGATCTACGGTCACTGCGTGCGTCCCCACGACATGAAGGTGCACAGCGACTACCACCTGTTCAAGGAGGGCATCAAGCCCATGTGGGAGGTGAGAATGAGACGGCACTGGTTTCTGGTGGATTGGAGCACGGCCAGGGTACCGTGTGTGGGGTTAGGTGTGACCGTAGGAAACGGCTGTCACTGGTAATGGCCGTTGATTTTTTTTTTAGTTCGATTGCCTGTAAATTTCCGTTTCTTGTAATCATTTTCTTTGGAGACCAGGTGAATTTATCGGCCCGGAATGGGGTTCTCCACTGCCCTGGGAAACGACTATCATCGCCACTGTATCAGCGGGTCTTCGATTATATACAAGTCCATGATTTCATCTCCGAATCTGTTTAACCCGTCTCTGACCGTCCTCTCCCTGTTCCTCAGGACGACGCCAACAGCCGCGGCGGCAAGTGGATCGTGCGCCTGCGGAAGGGCCTGGCGTCGCGCTGCTGGGAGAACCTCGTGCTGGCACTGCTCGGCGAGCAGTTCATGGTCGGCGACGAGATCTGCGGCGCCGTAGTCAGCGTGCGTCACATGGAGGACATCATTTCCGTGTGGAACCGGACGGCAGCCGACTCGACGACTACGGGCCGCATCCGGGACACGCTGAAACGGGTGCTCAACCTGCCGCTCAACACTATCATGGAGTACAAAACGCACACCGACAGTCTCAGGTGAGGGCGGAATGGGGGCGTAGCTGAGGGCAATCTATGGCCAGGGCGGTCGGTGATGTATGTGTGTGTGTGTGTGGGGGGGGGGGGGAGCTGGGAGACCGTACCAAAGGAAGAGAGTTAGGAGAGGTGGGACTTTTCACGGAACGGTGGCTGTGCTCATGTTAAGCTGTGATATGGACCCTGGTTCAGTGATGTCTCATTTTCACCGAATTGTGGGGCGCCTCCAGTCAATAACTCGTGCAGTTTCTGGTCGCTTTGGATGGACACTCACATCGCTTTTCTTCAGAAACCTCTATCTCAGTCGCTTGTCTCCGTTTTCAGAGACAACTCGAGTTTTCGGAACACGGACTTATTCGTCAAGTAGCGGCCGTTGCCGCAGTTTGGACGGCGGCCGGTGCGACATGCCATCTATTGGCGGGTGATAGAAACTCTCCGTGCGGCTCTTCATTGCCCTGGATCTGTTGATGGAACGGGGCGCTTGGTCAATCGGTGCTCTATGATACAATACATACTTGTTTTACGCATGCGCAGCAGAGCCGTGTTTTGGGGCCTAACTGATGAAGCTCTGATATTTTTCTTTTTAAAGGGACTATCCCACCTTCTAAAATGTTGTTAACACGCGCAGTGGAAGGGTTGCGAGTACTACGCCCAGTGGAAGGGGGGGCGGATGTCGCCCCCCCCCTAAGATCTCAGCTCCCACTGGAGCTAGAAAGACGAAATTTGGAGGGTAGGTGGGGGCCATGGGGAACTCTGTTGTGTGTGAATTTCATGACCCTAGGTCAATATCTTCAAGGTCAAATGAGGTCAAATGTGGTCAAATCTGCCATATTAGCGACTTTTTTGCGTTTACACGCCGATAGCTCAAAAAGTTACCGGCCGATTTTTTTAAATCTTTCACTATACGAAAGAACAAACATTTGTGAGTATGTATGGTGAATTTCTAGATAATCCAACAATAAATATGGCAGTTAGAAGCCTGCTAAGGATAAGATATTGCCGGCTGAAGCGGCATCGGCCGACGCGGGAAACGCGGCAATCACAATTTTGTGTTTACACACTCATAACTCAAGTTGTTACCGGCCGATTTTCAAAATTCTTTGACCATATGATTGCCTGTACATTTCTCAGTCTTCTCACCGAGTTTGACGCGAATCTAATATAATCAGCGGTAAGGAGCGCGATGTAAAGACGGAACCGTCCCGCCCCGGCACAGTCTACAATTCAGGCGGCGCGTAACGGCTAGCGCCGGCCGCCGCGCCGCCGCGCCGCCGCGGCGGCAGGATGTTTGACTTTACACCGCTATTACTAGAAAAGTTGTGAACCGATTTTCTTACTTTTTGCACGAGAAGATCCGCAATTCAATTCTGGACAGGTAGCCGAAATTTCACATTGATATTATGCTTGCGGCGCGAGTTATTGGCGAAAAACAGGAGGGGTGGGCGAAATCCGCCCCCCCCCCCCTTCCACTGCGCGTGTTAACCAGTTGAATTGTGCCCGACTTTATAGATTGGATGACCAGGAACACGGTTCTGGCATTTATTTTTCATTAAACATCTTAGGCTTCCCATATTCCAAACATCAACTTTCGAATATGTGACGTCACAGCCCAAAATTACCTCCTTCCCAAGGCCACATTACTGTCATAAAGCTGATTCTTTTTACTCTGTAGGCACCACAACAAAGTTCAGACGAAGTTTTAAGCGATTTTTCAACGAACAAACCCATTTAAATCAGAATGACTAAACGAGGTGACGTCACACTAACGGTCGCTCCATGTTGAAGATACGGCCTTGTACAAGGCCCATTTTCAAATGAAGGGAACGAATTTCTTCAACACCAAGAGGCCGCGGGGGTTGCAACCTAGATAGATAGTAGCTTCTGAACCTCGCCGCAAACTTGGCTATCTCAATTACTCAAACCCCATGTTAAATGTGGGATAGTCCCTTTAATGTGGTAGGTAGTATAGTACGGCATGATGAATAGTTTAAACATTTACCAAATCGCGCAGAACCGAGTCTGTATGCCGTTCTGAGCTCTCAGTAACACTCTGGATTGCTGGAAGCACTGCTTACCCCCATCGGAGCGGAGTCATTGTGTAACCATTCCACCGTGTTCTCCTGACGCCTTTTATTTGTTCGGTACATAGGTACTGGCCAGTGCCTCCGACACGGAAGCAGCCTGATTATATACAGAAGTCCCACATATCACAGACACGTGCTACATCTGGTAAAGCACGCCAACAATCCAATCACCATAGTCACCACAGCCACGGCGAAACAAACAAAGCGAAGGTAACACTAGTCGCGCTCGCATGAGGAAAAAAGCGAGGTACAACAAAACGGTTGAATCCTACGTAGATGTAGGTTCACAAATAATACTTTTCTACAGGGAACAGACTTAATAGAGAACTAATGCTATGTAAACTAAATATGTACCTAAGTGTAGACACACTGAACCTCAAATACACACCGTGACGAATCGAATGGCACCATTGACTATACGAGTAAACAGCTGAGGTGTATTATACTCCTCCAAGCGTCAGTAATGATCGTAAAACTAGGCTTACTTCAGCCGGCAAGCATAAGCATTATAAGCGCTAGATATTGTCTCCACTGGCGCTAGTGAAACACCACAAAGACCTCGCAGCGAACCCCGGCACGGGTCAGCGATAGAGGTGGGCCGCCTCAGTACTTTTCACAGTCGGCCGAAGAGTACTGAGTGCAGACGCTGTCGCTGGTATTCTCCGAGTACATCGGGTCGGCCTGGTCCAGCCCTGAGCCCACGATCAGGTTCTTCATGTTACAGAAGTTGGTGCCCTTGTCCAGGTAGGCGTACCAGGTCTTGGAGCGCGAGTAACCCTGGGGGACAGAATAAAACAAAGGTAGGCAAACATTTAGCAGCGAATTTCACCTGACATAGGGTAGAGCTGCGCTTAGTAAGCCGTACGTATGAATCGATGACTAACGGGAAGGGGGAGGGGTGGAGGCACTGGAGCCACGGCCCGTGACGTGTCATCTGTGGCAGTTTGTGGAAAGAAATGGATACACGATCAATTTGGTATCCGCCCCTTTCCGCCCGCCAGTCTCAATGCACGAGGCCAAAAAACGACGGTGGTTTCTAACAAACCTCGTAGTCATGAGAGCAGCCTCAAAGTTCCACTTGTTTCATTCATAACTTATCGTAGCACTAGCACTAGCTGCAATTCACGCATATCTTCAAACTTATTCCAAACAATGCTGTCAACGCATCAAGTTACATGTGTTATTTACATTCAGCAGTAAGAATCTGCAGCAAACCCGATCGATTCCTCGCCGTGGGCGGGGCGTCCTACCTGCATGCGGCACGCGCCGGTCGCCGAGCCGTTGACGAAGGTGAACGTCAGCTCGTCCACGTAGTGGGAGACGGGTGTGGTGTGGGTGCCCGTGACGGTGTCCCCGCTGGCGCTGATCAGCTGTGAGGAGGGGGGGGGGGGGGGGTGTCAGACCGGCACGGCACCCAAGGTGCAGTCAATGGCGGAGCACAGGCACTGGAGGCAGACACGGCTTTTAACCCGCGCGGGGCTGGGGGGGGGGGTAAATTTTACCCCCCCTCGCGAATTTTTGCAATATCTCAAAAACGGCGGCGCGCAGCGCCGCCAAACTTTCAGTACCTTTTCTTACATCAATTTGACATGTTCTAGGGTGACACTTATTTGTAGGGGGGAATCCCAAAATGAATGTTTCAACGCGCGAAAGCCTGCACATGGTGTGAAACCATGAGAAAACACCTCCTGTGAAGTTTCAGGTCAATCGGACATATTTAAGAGGTGCCCCAAAGCCAATATGGCGTCTGATGCCCTCTTCTGCTTCCTCCCCCCAACACGTCGCATAGCTCGAGCCTAGGCGGTGACCCCGCAGATTGCAGCTGCGCTCGATCGAACCAGAACATATAACCGGAGTGCTGTCCACATCCTCCACGCTGCTGCTGAGGCGTACAACCCAATCCCCCAGAACCTTGTAGTCAACCAGGAGTCGATCCAACGACACCGGAGCACAGTGGGCCAGGCGCTTCAAAAAAGCGGAATTAAATCAATGAGCACAGCTGCGGTGCCAAAAATGATTCGTTACAGGGTAAAATATCATGCTAAAGCCGAATCCGATATCCATTTTCAAATTTTATTGGTTACGCTAGGTCACTGAACTATGACGTCATTATTTAATTTCTGCGCTGCACAGTGCACATATGCCTGGGACAGGCGGGCACTATGCCGCATTGGCCGCGCGTTTGCAGTTTTTTTGTGGTTTTAAGCGTTCAAACATGTGATATGATGTTGGTCCCATGCATTAGGGTGGGTGTAAAGGTCACCTGAAGGTCAGGTTAGGTCATTGACCTTCGATGACCTCGGTTCACTTTTTCGAGTTTTACATGTTTCTGGGCTTGTTTTTGGAGCTGAATTCGAATTTAGGAACCATTTGAACATTTACGAAGTAGTTTTGGTGCCTTCGTAACATGTTACGAAGCTGTCAGAGGCGGGTTGACACCTACTACGAATACCCGGCAGGACCCATACTGGTTGACCTGACCTGAGCTGACCCGACCTGGCCTAAATGCATGAAGACATCATCTGTGATCAAAACTAAAATGATATTCGTGATCAGCATCCCGAAAAACCCCTTAGGAGCCACACTATACGACGTTCTAACAGGTCCCGACTTTCGGCCATTGACCTGACCTCAGAGGTCACCATTTGACCTATGACCTTAAAACCGGGTACCGTTGGCTTCGTCTCGTGACGACCTACACGATGGTTTTTTTCCGCAAGGCTCTAGCTCAATTAGGGGCCAAACGCGAGGAGGGTCGCATCCCCCTGTGCCGTCGAGGGATGCAAAACGGCCTATACCGGCGAGGGTTAAACCCTTATTTGTCCATTTCGCGCAAAAATGCGCAAAATATTTGCATTGGGTAGCAAGCTATACACCTTGAGGAAAGTCAGGCAGCAAATATCTTCGTGTTGTTCGGCGACGTTTTCTTTATATCCTTATATAAATTCATTGCGTCGTTGCACTACCACGGTTCCGAACAGGCACTGTAAACCCCACCGCTACTAGTAAGCATGAAATAGTTCCCGGGAACTTGAGTACGAGAAACATGCGCAGAAATACCGGCTGTTTTTTTAAAGCTATTTTGTACGGAATAACTTTAATGATTTTACGCTGAGAGCTTTTGAATCGGGGGAACGGAAAATGGTACACAGCAGTCATTTCCATCTCCAGTCGGTAAGTCCTACTTTGCGACGTTATAGCTTTATCTGCCTTGACATTGGGGAAAGGAAACTTGCTTATTCGGAAACTTTGGACATTTTTACAATACTCTTATCCCATAATTACAGGAATTTCACCGAAGTTGATTTTCGACTTAATTCCCCTTTTTTGATGCGCCTGGCCCACTGTGCGGAGGCGCGTCAGGGAGGATGTGGCGAAGGAGATCCGGAAGACGTTTGCTCCGGGCGTACCCCTCGTCGTCCATTGGGACGGAAAGATCGTCGACGATATCACCAGCACAAAGGCATCTGAGCGCCTTCCCATCCTCGTTTCTGGGGATGGCGTTAACAAGCTCCTGGGAGTCCCACGCTTGCCCAGCGGGAAGGGTGACGAATGACGATGTTGCCACCGCGGTTGTCAGCTGCCTTGGGTATTGGGGCGGCGCCGAACGCCTTGTGGGAATGTCTTTCGACACTACCGCTTCCAACACCGGCGTGCGCGGCGCAGCTTGTACTTACGTCCAACAGCGACTCGGGCGGAACCTCCACCTGGCCTGCCGGCACCATATTCTTGAGATCGTGGCCGACAAATCGTTCGGCGCCTGTCTCGCACCGTCGTCTGGGCCCGATATCCAGCTATTTAAACGCTTCAAAGCCGAATGGGAATGCATCGACCAGGCGATGTTCCAGCCAATCGAGCCGATCCCGTCCACCAGTGACGAAGTCATTATGTTCTGCAAGGAGAAACTTCAAAGTACGCAGCATCGGGATGACTATCGAGCACTCAACTTGACGATCGTTGTCTTGGGTGGCGTTCCCCCTGGAGGAATCAGGATGTCCAAGCCCGGAGCCTACCACCGCGCTGGATGGATGGGCAAACTGATATACGCATTGAAGATCTTCTTATTCCGCGGACAGTTCAAGCTCACTAAGGCGGTGGAGAAGAACTTGGCCCGCTTCGTCCTCTTCTTCGCGACGCTGTATGTACCGGCGTCGTACGAAGCCCCGCTGGCAGCCCGTGCTCCGGCCCAGGGCCTGTCTTTCTACCGCTCACTCTTATCCTACGAGGACGAGGAAATCGCAAGGGAAGCATCGAAGGCGCTTGGGTGTTATCTCTGGTACATCTTCGAGGAGCTGGTGTCGCTCGCTCTGTTCGACGTGAGGACCACGTTGGAGGAGAAGAGGCTGATCGTGGCTGCCTTTGGCCGCGACGGCGCAGAAGATCCGCCCAAGCGGATTTCACTGGAGCCTGACCTGACTGTACTGACGAGGAAGACGCTGCTTCGCTTCGTCAAGCTCCAAGTTTTTAACCCTATTTCGGACGGGGAGGCCTTTCAGGATTTTCTTGTACAATTGCCAAACGCCGCGAGACATTCAGCTCATATTTGGTGACTTTTCCTAAATGCTCATTGCGCACATCTCAGCAAAAAAAAAAAAAAAATGCCGGGTCAGGTCAGGTCAGGTAACCAGAGCGGGTTTGTTGACCCCACCTCAGAAAAGTTTGCAAACACGTCAGAGCTTGAGTTTTCACGAAGTTATTTCCTCTCATCAAGTCTTCAAAACAGTACCTGCAGTATGTGTCGTTTGTATATCTCAAAATTTTTGATCTGTGACCTGAGGTTAGGTCAGAGTCGTGACCTTTACATTGCAAGCCTATGGAAAAGTATTGAAATGCGACCTGCACCTCGAGTAAACGAGTCAAAACCACCCAATTCTTTAAGAATTATGACAAATTATCTTATCTGTAATGATCCAGGTGCCATTTACTGACAGGGACACCGGGGAGGGTTATCTGAGCCGAGATCATGTGAGGTGATATCTACCATACATCAATGCTCACAATACTTACAATATTGACAATGCTTTTGCTTACAACACTTACAATACTTACGATGAGACCAGCAAGCACTCTGCCGTTACAGTTCTAATTTCTGTTTCTAAAACCGACCTCGTGGACGCCCTTGGCCCGTCGGAATTCCTTGAGATGGACCCGGCCGAGTGGCCGGAACGCCAGGACTACCAGCTCGCCCGCCGCCGAGCCGAGTCCCTCAAGGTTGTCAACGATTTTGCCGAACGGGGCGTGGCTCTGATTCAGAGCTACTGCGCCATCCTCACGAAGGATGAGGAACAAAGACAGTTCCTTCTCCAGGTCGTCGAGGAACATCGACGTCGTTTCCGTGGCGTCCGCAAGTCGACACTAGATGAGTACCTGTGATTGGGATTTTGGTTCCTATGAGACCCCCCAGCGACGGTCGAATGTACGCAGGTCAGCATTGTGTGCTTTTTTGCGTGCCAGGTGTGCCTTTTTTACTTTTTGTCGAGACCCCATCGACGGTCTAATACACGCAGGTTAGCGTGGTGTACCTTTTTGTGTGTCAGTGTGTCTTTTTGACTTTTTGTCGGGGAACATCGGCGCTTCCCAGACGTGCGCTATTCGACGTTAGCTGAGCAGCAATGAGTGGGATTTAGGCTCCCATGAAACCCCCAGTCAGAGGCTAATACACGCCGGTCAGGGTGGTGTGCCTTCATGACAGCACATGCCAGGTGTATCTTTTTAACAAATTGCCATTGGTTGTTGGAGGGGTGGGAATTTTTTATCGACGTTTTACACCCCCAACGATTCGTTTAAAGCCAAATTGCATGTGTACTTTATCAAAAATTGAATTAAAAATGCGCTATCTATTTTTGGTGTACGTATCCAAATAAATTGGCTTTGGGGCACCTCTTAAATATGTTCGATCGATGTGAAAATTCACAGGAGGTATTTTCTCATGGTTTCACACCATACCCAGGCCTTCGCTCCTGAAAAATCAAAAGTTCAAAAATAAGTGTCACCCTAAATTGTTCCCTGAATATTTGAGCGAAATCCGTCGGAAAATATTTGAGAAATTGACGTTTTAGTGACGTCATGTTCGCCATTTTCGCCTCAAAAACGGCAAAAGTTCAAACGCCGCTAACATCTTCATTTTTAAAGGAATCAAGACGTAACAAAAAAGGATATACGTAATTCTACTTTGTCTATCAAATGGCTATCTCGGTTTTTTGAAAATTTTGGATTTTGGCCCAAATTTTTTCAAAAAACTGACTTTTTGGGGAAAATACCTATAAACCTATTCAAAATTTGACCTCACTTGACCTGACCTTGACCTGACCTCGACCTGAAATTCATCCAGAGGTGGTCCATATCACTTATTGAGTGTGCCTATTGAATTCTATAAGTAAAATGACCCATAAAACATGTGTCGCACATGCCCTTTTCTATATTTTGTTTTTGGTGACCTGACCTGACCTGACCTTGACCTTGACCTCTGAATGATATTGTATGCAACGAATATTGTCTTGGTAGCCTAAGAACACGTTTTGGGCGATCAGTCTCAGTCCATGACTCCATTCTTCGGCAACTACGGTGCAAGACCGATACTGTAGGAACTTGCAATTTGTACCCTTGACCTGACCTTGACCTTGACCTCAAACTTAAAATTAAGTACGTTTTTAGTTGTTCGTGATGAGATCTTTCGATTGACGTTTGAATTTTCCAAATCGGACCATTAGTTCGGGAGATAACAGGGGGGGGGGGGTAAAATTTACCCCCCCCCCCAGCCCCGCGCGTTCGGCTGGAGACCCCAGCCCCGCGCGGGTTAACTGACTGAGTTGTCAAGTGTCCGAGTGGTGTAACGTACTTCTTTACGGCTTCTTGGTGGGACTTTGTAGGGTATCTACTGAACAACACGTCGTGCGTCTGCGGAAGACAAGTTGAAAAACGGAAGTAAAATACTATGAATTTGATTAATTACGACCATTGACAGCGGATCATTGATATTAAACCTTATGGTCGCCTTATGTAATGCCTAATGGGAGATTCTCGATGTTGCACCACGGCTCTTGCCTCATCCCGCCTGTTTCTATTAAAGCCTTCGTATTTATACGTATCACACCATTCACACTTACATAGCGGTTTTTCACATGCACACACACGGCGTCTGGGGCTCACCTGGTAGAGGCACTTTTCGCCGCCGGCGGCGCAGCCGTCCTCGCCCTCCCAGGCGCGCATCTGATCCACGATCGACGTCATCACCTCCTGACACGGCTTGCCGAACGTCCTGCGGGCGCCAAAGTCCCAGCGTCAGCGGTCGGCGACGTCACCGGACGTGAAGGGTAGGAGTGTATCGGACATACGGGTCATAATAAGCAGCAATGCCACAAGTTAAAGGTCACGGCTGTGAGCGTCACGGACATAAACGTAACAGGTATGAGTGTCATGTCACGAACGTTATAGCACAAGTATGAAAGCCACATACACACAATATGAATATATTGTCAGAGTATGAGCGTCATGGGCACAAGCATCATTGCCATGCGGTGGACTATGAACCGGTAAGGGTAGCTAACAAACGGCGACAGTCTCTTATGAGGCTTCGCCAAGGTGAACAAGCTGGCACGGGACAGTGGGGCTTCACTGGCTCGGGGAATCAGTCCAATTACAAAGAGGTGGTAAGAAGATGCCAGACAGCGCATAAGCGGAGCTCAGTCGAAGCCGAGGCTCGACAGCAGACAGCTTATTTATGCCTGCTTGGCATACGCTTGGATTAATTATTATATTAGTTCAACCACAAATCGTTGCTAAAAGTTTCCACATTCACGTAAAATAAATAATCGTAGGTAATTCGTATGAGGTATACCAGAATAAGAATCTGGGACTAGCTTAATCGCTTATACAAAGGATTACGGTTGCGTTCCATCTAACATGGCGTGCTCACAATATAAGCCACAAAACGGCTGCATGACAATTCAGAACAGGTCAAGGCGAGATAAGCGATCGCTGGGGGCGATCAAACCGGTTATACACATGTGGAGTCCGGCTTAGCGGCGGCACACCCGTAAATGGCACACGTGCACACTGCATGAGCTGAGAACTCGGCTTTGACAGAGCTAGCACAGCAGGGGCTGGAGCAAACCTCTGAGGCCTGACTGGGGCCTGTTGTTTGGTACTCCCCGCTTCACCAGAATCCAATGCGATTGGGTTTTAGTTTCCTTGAACTTGAATAACCGTAATTGTATACCGAGAATCCGTGAAAAGCGACGGATTCCCGGTCCCGGTGCCTCTTCCCGTTCCGTTTCCCTGAACCTATAGGTACGTCTTGCTAAGCCCTCGTTCTACAGCCCTCCATCCAGCACTCCCACTTATCACACCCTCCGTCCCTCCGAACCCCCTCCTCACTCACCAGTCTGCCTGACAGGAGGCGTGCCTGACCCTCCCCAGCTCCACACCCATTCGTCCCTCTGAGCCCCCGTCTGACTCACCAGTCTGCCCGGCAGGAGGCGTGCCACGGGTAGTCCCACTCACCAGTCTGCCTGGCAGGAGGCGTGCCACGGGTAGTCTGACTCACCAGTCTGCCTGGCAGGAGGCGTGCCACGGGTAGTCTGACTCACCAGTCTGCCTGGCAGGAGGCGTGCCACGGGTAGCCGATGATGGAGAACGCCGAGACGACGGTGATGCCGGCGAGGACGACGACCACCACGCAGGCGGTGAGGAGGGCCAGCGCCAGCGACTGGCAGCAGCAGCAGCCTGCGCAGCACAGACACCGGCAGCAACGGCGCAGACACATCAGAACGACGGGACGGGGGTAAGGGGAGGGTAGGGGAGAATGAGGGTGGTAGGGAGATAGGATTTTGATGGACGGTGAACGGAGCTCTGAGGAGGAAGAATTAGTCAAAGAATTTGAAATTCAGTCTACAAAACGCGACTAGCAACGGCACAGGCAGCAACCTGCCGAGAATGAAGAACGGCGGAGTCCAATTGGAAGGAAGGAACGCACAGCTGCCGCGGAGGTCCAAGTCTGAATAGGCAGTGGCTGGGCGGAGTCGCCACAGGTGATATCTCTCACTCACAACGCACAAAGAGTCAGACTCCACCGCCCGAGAGACCCTCACACGGAGCGACACTACGAGAGTGTGCACTACAGTTACGATCACTACGCTGGAGCTACACAGCGAGCTCACAGCGCGAGAGCTCACAGCGCGAGATCTCACAGCGCGAGAGCTCACAGCGCGAGAGCTGGCAGCGCACGGTGTGTCTGCGGCGGCTGGGGAGGTCGGGTGTCCGGAAATCGATAGTCTCGGGAGAGGAGCACGGAGGATCTTGGCGCGCGGCGAATGACAGCGTAAACACAGAGGGAGGATTGCCGAGTGCGGAGGAAAGGGGGTCAGACTGGCGCAGTGCTCGGTGGCCACCGTGGGTCCAACTGGCAGATTTAGGGCGGACACAGCCGGTCAGCTCTGGACGTCACACAGGTGTTGGCAGCGGCGTAACCAGACAAAGAAAAGAGGGAAGCAGAAACACAAAGGAAAAGACAACATGCGGAACATCAACAACACGTAAGGACAGGGGCAAATGACTATGAAATAAACATTTGGTCAAAAAATGACCATAGGAATCATACAAATTCAGTACCTATCTAATAAGCCCCCCCCCCCCGATTATGAACGGAACACGTATTCACCCCGACTCCTGGGTGCGCCCCTGGTCGGGGGTGGTCAGGTGCACATCATTAGGCTCATTTCCTATAGCGCCGCAGCCATCCCCAGTCCCCACGTCAGCAGTTTGTGCGCGGTAGGTAGGCCAGCCGTATCCACTATGCATACAGGACGTTCGTTGTCGTGATAAGGTGAGTGCGCTCTTCGTCACAGTTACGTAAGATTGTGTATCAAGATGATAAAAACCTTCAATTATGCAAGTTCGAATTCAATATTTGTGCACTATACCGACTGAATTAAGCACAATCACAGGCTCCATTTAGCATATGTACATATAAATCACAATAAAGCGGGCTTAGTTGGCGGTGCATGCAATCCCATGGATGGAGAAGACTGAATCAGATCCGAGCACCAAGTATAATTCCAAGAAAATAGAGCTAACGGAGGTCACCAACGTGTGACGCCATAACATTGCGCCAGGAATCACTCAATCCCTCACCTGATTTCTTGGCCGATCCAGCTTTTTTAGTATCTTTCGACATCGCAACGTACTGAATGTCGGTCATCGTCCTAAAACAATATTGCTAGCAGTCACTCTTGCCTAGCTGATCTATAAACAACGAAGTCTGTATTGCAAGTCGCGCAGCCTTGTGGTGGGATCTGCAATATGACTTCTTCAGAACAAAGCGCAGAGCGCAGCCGGCCTCTCGGGCACTGACACCACCAACACTGCCCGTCGGACGCGGCTGGCGGCTGTCCGCGCCTATCAGTGATTCAGAACCACGCTGTCCCAGACTCCCACGGAGACCTTTGGACCTGAGCTGTGTTTTAGTCCACAGGAGACAAAACAGGACCGCTGAGTAACAACCGGGGGGGGGGGGGGGGGGGTTGGTGAATGACACCGATGTTTTTGTTCGGTTGTTAGGAAAGCACGTGCTCCTTCAACGAAACAGAACAGTCTAAAAAATATAATTGCCACACCGCTACATGACCTAGGGTCTAGGGATCCACCTAACAATAAAGATCATCTGGTAATGATGCGGTGCAAGGAAACACTTTCCCCAAAGCCCCTTCACCTACTACCGGCTCGGCGTTGGACCAACTCGACGGCCTATGCCTCAGATAGCGCACAACCTTTTCCCATAGGTTGCGTTAGCTCAATGCGCAGTTTTTCTTTCTAGTGCTCCTTCAGGTCAGAAAAAAGTCTCCATTTATTCGGGAGCTCCGTCAGCTCGGCGTGAAGCCTACAGTTCTCCAAGAGCTCCATCAGCTCGTGTTATAAAAGTATGCAGCTCCCAAAGAGTTCGGCCAGCTTGGTGAAGTCTGCACTCTGCAGCTCCACAGGAGCTCCGCCAGCTCGGTGTAGAGCCAACAGCTCTACACGAGCTCCGACAGCTCGGAATCGAGTCTGCAGCACCCCAAGAGCTCCGTAAGCCTCTCTGCACCGCCAACGACCCACCGGCGCGGTGGTCAATGGCCGCCGCCGCCGGCACTTCACGTCCTTGGAACTAGCTATTCCGGCCTATTACATATTACATAATCCGGGCTACCGAATGCATAATGCATGCCGGCCCCGCGAAAGGACTGAACGTTGGACACGCGAGTGGAGGAAGTCGGGCCCAGCCGTCCCGGTGTCAGAGAGGCATGCGATCGAAGGCACCAGTAGCCATGCTTTTGCAGCTTGTCATACTATTAACTATATCATTTTCGATTCAATTAATCAAAGTCGTGAGGCTAGCCAATAAAAATTATCTCCTTAGTTGCAAGACGGGGTCATCCCCGTCAGGAGCCAACTCCAAATTTCATCATCAGCGCATGAATGCTGATCAAGTGACTAGTGTAAGGGCCTTCAACCCTAGGAGTCCAACACTCGACCAACTCAGCCATGGGTTTCAAATCGATGTCGGTATGTGTGTATATTTGCATCATATTCACTTTCAGATACATGCATTCAATTCGTTCCGAATATCGCTGACCTTGATCTGATCGACATTCCAATTTCTATTCACATTCGGCACCAGTTTATTTGACAATGGTGCACATTGACATTCACAGTCAGATTCAAATAGGTATTTGCAGAGCATAATAAAACAGTACTAATGTTTAGTATTAAGGTGGGTCATAAATGTTTCTAGCATCAATAACATACAATTCCCATGTAAAATGCTTGAATTTGGAGGCCAAGGTCTGGTTAAAGATTGTCAATTTAGATTGAAACCAGGTCTGAAGCAGGGACTAAAGAGTCATCTGAAGATTTATGACCTTTCTGATTTGATCAGGATCTTGACCTTGAACAGCCTAGTTGGCATGAATTTGTACTTACTGAATTGTGCTTAATTTGAAAGATATTGTCTGATTCAGTATTAAGGTGGGTCATAAATGTTTCTAGCATCAATAACATACAATTCCCATGTAAAATGCTTGAATTTGGAGGCCAAGGTCTGGTTAAAGATTGTCAATTTAGATTGAAACCAGGTCTGAAGCAGGGACTAAAGAGTCATCTGAAGATTTATGACCTTTCTGATTTGATCAGGATCTTGACCTTGAACAAACAGCCTAGTTGGCATGAATTTGTACTTACTGAATTGTGCTTAATTTGAAAGATATTGTCTGATTCAGCCATTAGGAAACATATGTTCAATTTCAAGCTGTGCCTTGATCTTGATGTCATAATATCTCCAAAACACAGGCTACAAGAATGCTTCATATGCATTTCATTCAGACCTCTCCAGTACCTCCTTGTGCCAGTTGGTCTGGGTCGTATTCATTCAGTGTAATTTTTAAAGTTCAAACTGGATTCCCTATTACATGAACCATACAGCAAGAAGTTCACTCTTGCCAATCTTGTATTTGTGTGCTTATTTATCAAATTATCCCCCAACAGGCCATTGTTGCTCAATTGGGCAGGCTCTTTCTCTTTGCAAGGTTTCAATTTCTATTTGTCAATCTTCTCAGCATATTGTGTGTTAATACCTACTCACCATCAGATCTGTCTGATATTCGGAGAAGAGGTGTTGTCTCTTGAGGGATGGTTTCCTCCCCCTGAGGCATCTTTTCTCCAGCTGGCTTCCTGTGAGTCAACAGTTTAGTGCAATTTCACTCTGAAAACAATAGGGGAAGGAATTAAGGGGCCAAACAAAGCACACTGAAATAGGTACAGCCCTCAGCAGACTGCGTGGTAGGTATTCTTTTTTTGACAAAACCAATCATAACTCAAAGGCTATACTTTCAGTCAGTCGGAACTCATTGCAAATAGATGCTCCATCCTCCACTCCTTCGAATAGGTCTATAACTTAATGAAGTATGCGCCTTGTGTGGCAACAAAATGCAAAAGTTTCTTTGGGGGCAAATATAAACTTTTAGGCTTTGTTGCCAAACTAGATGAAAAATGAGTATGGTGATGATGCCAATCTAAGATGTGGAGTCTCGCGCATCTAATAAAGAAGTGAACAGTTCAAACGAAGGTCTTTGATCAGATTTCCGAATGACCGATAGCATAGTATTTGCGTCATTCTCGTTTTTGTCGAAAAAAGAATACCTACCACGCAGTCTGCAGAGGGCTGTACAAAAAAAAAACAGCGGAGAGGGGTCAGGGGGCTGGGGGCTGATACGGGAATCCCCACAAGTGCTCTGCAGTCTGCCGCGCGCCAGCTTTCGTCTGGCGGATGAATCAGCGAAAATCCAAGGAGAAATTTTGTTAAGTAAGGCCATGAGTGAATGCTAAGCGTTTTCAAGTTAACAAACATAAGCAAACCGCAACAACCTACCCAGAATCCACGATAAATGGTCCTCGATGAACAAAACGCGCACCCCAGCGCCACGGTCACTCAGCCACGTTTGTCGAAATGCGACAAAACAAAACAATGTGCAGCCATGGCTAGAGGTGACGGTTTCACAAACAAATCAACTGCTTTCTTTCTAAATGTTCTTTTAAATTTACCTTAATTTATAAGCTTATGTGATGTTCCTATTATTTTCAATATTTGAAAAATAGAATATACATTACTTGATGCATATAAAATTAAATAGATATGATGAGCCGGGACATAATTGGCATTACTAATTTAGCAAAAATATTGACATAAGTGACATCTAGCAGCAGCAGCTGAACCTCTGCTTTAGGCTCCTGTGCTAGAGGACATGACAGTCTTCACCAAGGCTGCTTGGGTGGGTAACCAGACAAAAGATCGTAAAGGACAGGCAAGGGCGCAGTGCGCACACAAGGGGGGGGGGGCACACGGGCCCGTGTCCCCTATTCGAGTTGGGGGGCCCAACTCGAAGGATTAGGGGCCCATTTGAGGCGGCCTTAAGACCGCCGAACTCGGCCGAAGACCGTGTAACAATGAGCTGACTGCTGAAATAATGATTGAAAAGACAAACTGCACGGGCGTAGGAACGTCATGAAAAGTGGGTGGGCCACCCTGTCAAGGGGCCTCCTTTTCCAGGGGGCCTCCTATTTTCAGGGGCCTCCAACTTTTGCCTCGTCTTGCTGGCTGCTTTCAAGTATGACCTCCAAATCTAGCTTCTGAGATCGGGCAGATGTACCCAGGGGCGTAACCGCTTAAGCGAACAGTGCGGAAAGTCCGCACCATTTTTAAAACTTATTCCCCTCCGATTTTTTTAAAAATCTTTTTGCCGCAAACGGCGCATGACCCCTGAAAACCCTTGCACAAATGTCTTCCTCGTTTCCCAGATGCCCCCATTAGCTTCATAGGCGTCCTCTTTGGCATATAAGCGCCCTATGTATAGTCATCATAATTCATAGACATCCCTATATGTCCCACAGTCGCCCCGTTGTCGCATACAATGTGCGCTTATCATAGGCGTCTGTCTCTCTTTTATGGACACTTGAAGGCGCCTCTCTTTGCCATGCCGGCGCGCCTGTTTCTTATGAATGCATTATGCACCCCCATGGCATTGATCAATTGCAGTCTGCAGACCTCTATTGCATGTGGACGCCCATAGGCGTAGGAACAGGGGGGGCCGGGGGGGCCATGGCCCCCCCACTTTCGGAGGTGGGGGGGCCAGCAATGTTAACTGGCCCCCCCCACTTTTTGCTGACCTGTACCTACCACTCGGTACCCTAAACACCAGAACTTGACAACTATTTAGCTTGCCCTTTAGTGAAGATTCCCTTTTGTTTCTACAGCGTTATTGACCGCAATTTCGTTCACTCAATGAAGAAAACCATATCAGAGACAAGACTGTGAGTCCTGGTGCCGCAGCATTTTGTTGATTACGATGCGCGGGACAGCGAGCACTGAAAAGGTATAAGACAATACTAGCACGGTGCAGGAGAATGCGTATACAAACGACCAACGCTTGACCAGATCTGCTTGGGGTCGGCATAGTTCGTCAAAGGCGTACTAGCTGGGGGCCAGGGTGACCGTGCCCCCGCCTCGGTTCAAACAGGCTGGGGGCCAGCAATGTCTGTATCTGCCCCTCCATTTGCCCCCCCCCCTCCCCAAACAAACAATGGGCCCCCATGGGCGTATGGGGCTCTGGCACTTATTCGATTGTCACGAGGCTCAAGAATCCAACGCCAGCTATTAACAGCTCCCAAACCAGTCTTTGAGGGTCCTACATTGATCTCAGAGGGCCCTTCAGTGGCGGTCAAGCGCCCACATTGACCACTGAGAACCCACATTGACCTCTGAGGTTCCTCCACTGGCATTTGAGGACCCCTAAACCGGCCTCAAGGGCCCAGCCGGCGTCTGAGGGCCTCACATCGGCGTCTGAGGGCCTCACATCGGC